CCTGACCCCCCCGTGCTTCAGCCCGGAGTTGGTGCCACATCCCCCCGACGGCCCCAAGCCCCTTGGACATCCGAACAGCCTGGGCTATGCGGGCAGCCTTGCGGAGCCGAGCCGTTCCTACGAGGAATCCGGCTCCCGGCGCCTCCTTCACTTGCCTCCCGTTCACTCCACGCCCCAGGGACCCAGTAACCCCCTGATTTATTACCCGGGCCAGGGTCCACACGCAGACGTGGACAAAGAGGGGCACAAGCTGCTGAGCCAGATGGCGGCGAGCTGTGGGGGTCCTGGTCATTACGGTGGCAGCTTGGAGGGCCTCAAGGACAGCTCCTATCCCTACCTGGATTCAGGGGAGCAGGTGGCCAACAGCTTGGACTCGCTGGACCTGGAGAACACGCACCTTGACTTCGCTGCCATCGTGGAGGATCCGGAGGCGCCCGCGCTGCTGCCGGGGCCCCCGAGCCCTGCCGGTGGCCTCCTGCTTCCCGCCTCTGGTGGCCCCAACATGGCTGTGGGTGACATGAGCTCCATGCTGAGCACCCTGGCAGGGGAGAGCCATTTCCTCAGCTCCCTGTCCTAACCGGGGCGCGCAGGTGGGTACGTCTGCAGCCGGGCGTCCCCAAGCCTTTTGGGACAGAGGCGGGAGGTCCCATGGAGCTCTCCACCGTTGACGCTCGGGGCCGGAGCGTCCCTGCAGCAGTTTGTCACGTCAGGCTTTCCCATGGGATCCTGCTGAGTCCAAGATGCAGCTGCAGGAGGGATTCCTGAGCAAGCTCCCCCTGCCTGGCTGTACCTGTACCGTTTCAGTGCCCGTTTTCCCCTGCCTTCCCCAGGCCTCTGGACCACGCAGTCCTATGCAAAGCCTTAATGTCAAAACCAAAGAGTTTCACCCCTGCAGGCAGGTTTCGTCCCCACGTCCCTGCTGCTCCCCGTCAAGCCCTAGCCCTTGTGAGGGCTCCAGTTTTCCTGACAAGACCGCCCAGCCCTTTGCTCGAGGATGGGAGAAGGGGAGGCCGTTCTGCAGCACGGGGATGCTGGGGGAGGCTATGGGTGCCTGGTGCTGCCTGCACCGTTCTGTATATAGTGTGCATATGTGTATGTCTTCCTTGCGGGTGTCACCTCAGCCTCTGTTTTGTTTGGAAGCAGCCACAGTCGCCCTCCCTTCCCATTAAACCCTTTCTCAGGGGACGTGAGCGTCCTTGTCCCTGCAGCCGGGCTCCCGGCTGGCCCCTGTGCCGGCTGCTATCGGCTCCTCACTTTCCAAGGCTCCCAGGTTATCTAGGTGTCTTTGGGGCTGCTCTGGACACCGTTCTAGGGTGCCCGGGTGTCATTCCGATGCCTCCGCGCTGCTGCACGTTCTCCAGTGTTCCGCCCGAGGGCTGTTTCGCTGCCTCTGCAAGATCTGGGCTCCTCAAAGCTTCTCCCAAAGCCTCCAATGGCTCCTGCAGCTTCTTTGGGGCTGCACAGCGCATTTCCAAATGGATCCATTTCCTCAGGCCGTCCTGGTGTGTCTGAGGTTGCTTCCGGACTCTTTCTGGGTGTTCAGAGTCCTGTGGAGACCCTTCTCCGGGGCTCAGGGTGACAGTCTTTGGTTGGCATGGGTGGGTGGCATGGCCATTAGTTACCCTAAGGCTACCTTGGGTTCTCTGGGCTGTTTCAAAGCCTCTTTCCCAGCCCCTGGTTCTATTCTCAGGCTTTCTGGGGCTCTTCCAAGGGCCAGAGGAGTCTCCAGGTGCTGTGGGCTCAGCAGAGCCTTTCCAAGGCGTACAGGACTCCTCCATCCCCTGCGGATCTGCTCTCAGATCTCAGGTCACCAGGCTCTGCTGTCTCCCCGTCTCCCCAGGTTGTTTGGGGAAGGCAGAGCTCTTCCCTGGGACTCCGGTGACGCTTCCTTGTCCTTCCTGGGGACTCTGTGTCACTGGCGGGCACTAGGACACGCAGGAGGGGCAGGGGGACTCGCTGGGAGCTCCAGGCCCTCAGGATCCAACCCAGCC